CATGAGGAGCACCAATCAGATCAACTAACTGCTCAGCAGACATGCCCCACAGAGCGGAGCCGTAGCGCTGAACCAGAGGAAGCCAGTCAAGAGCAGGACCGCCAACCCCGTAGGCCAACCGGACCGTGTCAGTGAGCTGAGCAAAGCACTGACCAGGGGGGTGAAAGCGGCCACAAGGGTGGCCCCGACGAGGACCTGTCAGAACCTGATAGGTGCAGGGAGGGTAAGAAGCACCGCGCTGGGGCTGACGCAGCCCCGACCCCGGAGCCAGCTGCTGACGCTGCTGCTGCTGAGGCTGGCGGGAGGAAAGGGGCTGCTGCTGCTGCTGAAGGTGCTGCTAACGCTGAGCCTGGTACCACGCCGCTGCTCCACCTAGCGGGGTCGGCAGTACAGGAGGCGACTGACGAGCTCGGGGGTCGCCGCCACCAGCAGGCGCAGTGGAGTCACCAGCCGCTGCACGAGGGGTCTTTCCAGACGCTGCACTCCCACCACCGCCAGTCGCAACAGCACCCCCACTACCTCCGCTACCTCCACCTCCACCTCCACCAGAACTACCTTTCTTGCCCCCCTTGCCGCGGGACCGCGACGCAGTCGTAACAGCAGCCGCAGTCGCGTTAGTAGCGGCAGTGGCGAGAGAGGCAGTGAAGGTGGGTAACTGCGGGACTGTGCATCCGTGGAAGAGTGGGGGGGACACAGTACCAGAGGCGGCAGCTACCGAGCGAAGGTTGCTCTCGACGTCCTTGAGTGCAGACTCAAGGACCTCGATAGTCAGCTCACTAGGGTGCTTCAGCAGAAGCGCGTCACGAACGGAGGCTAGGCGGTCAGGGAGGCTAGTGGCGATGAAATAGACAGTAATCGCCATGGGGGGAGGAAGCAGTGCAAGCTGTGCCTCAGTGCAAGCAGCGCGGTAACTAGCGTCGAGCGAGCGGAGGTGAGCGATCAAGTCAGCAGAGCGCTCAAACGAGGCGAGATCAGGAAACAGGAACGGGAGGAAAAGACGGCCAAGAGAGACAGTAGCGGGAGTAGAGTAGCGGGCCTTAATCGCAGTGAGGTACGCAGCAGCGGTGCGAACCTGAGTAAAGTGGACCTCCTCTGACTCAGGGAGGGGCTGCTGAGTGCGATGCAGGCCGCAGCGTCACGCGACGTCCAAGCCGTCCGGTCAGCGCGCTGACGGGCAAAGCGAGCCGTAGCAGCGTCGTCAGGGGCAGAGCCTAAAGCTGTAGGCTCGGGGGGCTCGGGGAGGTCACCAGTAGCGTGCGACCAGAGGGTCTCGCCCCCCTGGACCTGACTCTCTAACAGACGGCGAGCGCGAAGAAGCCAGACGGAAAAGTCAAGTGGTCTACCGTCAGCGTCGAAACGAAGAACTCGCGGAGTCGCCATAGTGAGAACTAACGCGAACGAACAGGCGAGTAACAACCGGGGAGAAGAGGCAAATTAGGGTTCAGGTGGGAAGGGGACTCAGTCGCAGCGGAAGAGCGGGCTAGGGCGACGGGCCAGGGCGTAGGGTAGGGCGACGGGCTAGGGCGTAGGGTAGGGCGACGGGCCAGGGCGTAGGGTAGGGCGACGGGCCAGGGCGTAGGGTAGGGCGACGGGCCAGGGCGTAGGGTAGGGCGACGGGCCAGGGCGTAGGGACGGGACAGGGCGACGCGACGGGGCAGGGCGGCGCGATGGGGCAGGGTGACGGGACGGGGCAGGGCGACGCGACGGGGCAGGGCGACGCGACGGGGCAGGGTGACGGGACGGGGCAGGGCGACGCGACGGGGCAGGGCGACGGGACGGGGCAGGGCGACGCAACGGGACAGGGCGACGGGACGGGGGGGAAAGGGCGGGCACGACGTGACGGGGGGAACGGGCGCGACGCGACGGGGGGTAAGAGCGCTAGGCGACGGGGGGAAAGGGCGCGACGCGACGGGGGGGGGGGGGGGGGGGAAAGGGCGCTAGGCGACGGGGAGAAAGGGCGCTAAGCGACGGGGGAGAGGGCGCTAGGCTCAGTACTAGGCGCGGTAACAACGGAACCGGTACGAACGAGAGGTAGGATCAGGCTCGGGAGGGACGAACGGAGAACGGAGGAACAGGATCCCACAGGATCCTAACCTAGCTGATACCATGTCAAAATGAGGAATGATGATGCCATTGATGTTGGTTGGGGTACATATAACAAACCCTAACTTCTGTACCCCCTAAGACAAACCTCACTACAGGCTACAACATTTGACAAAAACTCTTGCTGCTGCCAGCGCGCCCAGCACAGAAAAGTGCCGAGCGATTCCGGGCCTGCTGCCAGGTCAGCTGATTGTGAGCTTGCCACACTTGGCACTTGCACGAGGCCATTGTCTGATGCCCACACCTCGACCCTGACCGCTCAGTGTTCCGAACTCTTGAAAAATGACCAATCAGAGTGCCCCATTTCTGGCCGCACAATTGCTTTGGTATGCTGTAATGAGCTTCAATGCCATTATAGCTATGCTGTTATGAAACTGCATGAACATCTTAAAATTTGAAGTAACTCTGACAGTTCAGACAGAAAAAGTTGTGCTTGTCTGAATTTTCCGACTAAAAAAAATAAGTAACTCTGACAGCCAGACTAGGAAGAGGGGTGTACTCTGAGGCGTCAGACTACCTCAAAACGAATCTAGGGGCAGTTCCTCGTGTTCGCAACTAACAGCCTCCCAAACTTTCGCCGACCCTCTCGCCAAGCCTGTACGTTTTCGTTGGGGTTTGCTTTTGGTGGGTGCTGTTCCTAATCCAACAGTACTTTCAAATGAATACTGCTGCTTCAAAACAGTAATTTCCGAGTCACGCTAAGGTTTCGTAGGATACCTGGTTTCGCAGTGCAGTTCATCACCTTATCCGGTTTCGGTAACCAGGTTATATGAACCTCGGTACGATCGCAAACCTCGCAGATTCTTCGTGCGTGCGCAGAACACACGATCGCATAAACGTTAACATAAAATCCGAATGCAAGGTCGACTTTAGTTCAGTGTCCAACTTCTTTCAGACAGTTTGAACTAGGACACACGATGTCCTGGCGAGGTGTCCGGCGATATTCGCGAACAAAGTTACCAGCAGAAGTTCAACCATTTTTCCGAACTCTACAGCAAAAGACGCGCGCCCTAAATATATCCGAAGTTCAACTACCTGCGAGGGCCAAACACATAAGAGTAAGCACAAGGAACAATTGGAAGCTCAAACGCCCTAGTGCAAAGAAACGGGATGGTAAATAGACGGCCACCCTTCAGTTTAGCACACCTGATGCCAAAGCATCAGGGGCATTAGAGACATTCGACACGGCATCAATTCCGTCCGCCCGTCTCAGGGTAACATCCTCAGGGGGCCAGCAGGAGCGACTCAAGAAAACACTACGTATGCGTGCTCAAGGGCGTAAGAAGTCACACGTACAGGTAATCTTCAAAGGAAACAGCCGGCCATGCAATCTTGTCAGGCGTCTTCAACGCAGGACCGTAGGATCGGCATCCAGCATAAGTGAAACGCAGACTTTCAAGCGGACGCATGTGACCGATCGTTTCACATCAGAAGCACAGGCGGGTCGTCATGCCAAAAGTCAGCAGACGGGAAGATGTCGGATCCGTAAGAATTCCAGCACCTGCCAATGCACAGGAAAAGGGGTAACAAGTCAGCAACAATCCCAAGACGCCAAGTACGAAAAGTAGGGATAATCTCAACGAAAAATGTGTGCAAGTTCATTTGACGGAAGGGCAACAGAGTGCCTCCACCGCTGGTAAGACAGCACGTAGCCAGAAGGCACGATGATCTGGCATCGGTGTGTGGTGACTTGGCCACAATCACCGCACTCCAACTACCTCTACCCCTCCGAAAAGAGGGAGGTGAGCGGAGAGCGGCGCTGACATAGTCACCGATTGTCCGATGCGTGCGAAAAAAGAAAAAAATGAATGTGCAATGCCAATGAGAGCGAAAGAGTTATATGTTATTAATGCAGGACAAAGGCCACGAAATAAGTGTAGAAATGAGATGGGGCGAAGAGACGGACCTTTTAAGGCCCTTTCAGCCAATGGGGATGGCTGACTTCTCGACTCGCCACAACTTCGACATTGCCGAGTCTGATTTTGGGCAGCCTCAGAGGAGCGCTTTGAAGCTTAGGACCGACTCCTTGACTCGCCGAGACGTTCAGCGTGGTACAGACTACTTTTTGCGCCGCCTCAAAGGAATGATGAAAGCCCATGTCTAAATAGTTGAACCGCCGTGGCGTTCTGCATTGTTACATGTCACGGTCGAGTTGCGAGTTGACACAGAAGCCGCAATTTACCTGCTCGAACTCGCAAATAGGAGATGCAAATGTAGTGGCCATGATATACGTCAGCAGAAACCTGCCCATCTGGCGAGAACCACAAGAGTGTGCAGAGCAGAGGTGAACGTGAAGCAATACGTCAGACAATAAATTGGTCTTGAAATTTGAGGGGGTGAGATGAGAGAAGTCTCGAGTGAGCTGCTCCGCGTGTGAGGCTTAGGCGGGCGAGAGATCGAAACCCAAAAGCCTCGCCAATTTTGATGTGTGCAGATCTGTGCCGTCTATTTCTCTCCATCGACGGCCAACAAGCCCCAGGCATTGCAAAAGTCTCACATGGCGGAGTAGTTCCGCGCTCTGCGACAGCTTGCGGCTGGTGGTTTCCGCGTGGCAGGAACGCCTGGCTTGGAATGGGAGGAGGAGATCACGCAACGACGAAAAGACTCAAGCCCAGGCGGGTTAATGTTACCACGGTATGCGAAGCCGCATAACAAGAACCTGACTGGAAGAATTACTAAGTGGTTACGCTAACAGGATTCAAATTTCACTAACATTCATTTAGTGCCCTGCACTGCACACCTTCCTAGCCCTGTAAGTTGTCACCTCCCAGTCCAGGGTGCTTTTGTGAAGAAAACTCGTCATATTTCGAAGAAAACCCATCATATTACATTGTAGATTGGATTGAGATATATGCTTCTTGACCTTTGCAAACAACGAATTGTTATGATACATCGCACTAGGTTTTCCTGTTCAACGCATCAGCAACTAGCATTCGGACACTCCTGTTGCTGAGTGCTGCATTCCTAGCGCTCTCTGCATCACCAAAGCACCCAGCTGCCAGCAGAATAGCAGTGGGTACTATTCTTTCCATCTTCGCCCCAACCCTCACCATCTCCTCAACCTTCCTTCCCATGCTAACCCCCTCATCATCCCCTACCTCCCCCTTCACCCTCCCCGCCCTCTCCTCCATCCCCTCCCTCCCCTCCATCCCTTCTTCTCTTTCAGCAATAACTATCGCCCTCCTCACACACCTCTCCGCCTCCTCTGCCCCAACCCCTGCCAGCTCCCCCACCACTCTCACCGCTCTCTTAAAGAGCTTCTCGTTACTCACTCTAAGGTCCACCATGCGGTTACTGTACACTTTGCCTAAAAGCACATGCGCCCCGCTACTAGCAACGTTGAGGGCCAGTTTCACTGCTAGTTGTGCAAAGAGGTCGGTACGGGGTAGGAGAGGAGCGGCAGAGGGAGCAGGAAGGGAGATAGTGACATGGAGGAAGGTGGGAGTGAGGGGTTGTGAGGAAGGAGAGGAGAAATAGGAGGACATAGATGAGGAGGAGGAGGTGGAGGAGGAGGAGGATAGAGAGGAGGGGAAGGAGGAAAAAGGAAGGTCTGAAAAGTGGGAAGCTGCAGATGCCATGGGCTCTGTTCGCCGCTTCCTGATTGGTGCTGCACCTGTTGCTGCTTCACCCTCTGTATCAACTCCTGTTACAGCTACTGATGCTGCTACAGCTTCAGCCTCTGCTCTAATCACTGCTGCTGCACCTTCTGCTGCTGCTGTTTCACCACCAAGGGGCTTCTGAGTAGACTCAGAAGCTTGAACCGTGGCGCTACTACTGTGAAGCACATGCTCGGTTTCATCCCCATCCACCGACTCCCACTCACTCCCCTCCTCACTGTCCTCCTCAATCCCCTCGTCAGATGCACCGTCTGCCTTCTCCTTAGCTACAGCCAATCGCTCCTCTTGTAACTCCCTCCCTACCAGCACCCCAGAATCGCTACTTCCCCCTTCCTCCTCTTCGTCCTCCTCCCCTCCCTCCTCCCCTCCCTCCCCCACTCCCTCCTCCCCTTCCTCCCCCTGCCCTCCTGCTCCACTCTCCCCTTGATCACCCCCCTCCTCCTCTCCCTCCTCATCCTCCTCCCTCCCCTCCTCCTCCCCCTCCTCCTCACTCCCTTCCACTTCACTCTCCTCCCCTTCCTCCTCTTCCTCCCGCTCCTTCCCCTCCTCCACCCCATCCTCATCATCATACACCATTAAGAGCCGGTCGTGAGGAGCCACACCGACACTAAGCAAAGCGAGGGACAGCAGTCCCTGCTTGGCTCGTGTGTGGAGGGCGGTGAGGAGCGGTAGAGGGAACAGCTGTGGCTGTAGCACGTGTGACTCTAACAGGAGAATTGTGTCGTTGGCACTGGGGGTTTGCAAACAACAGGCAGGGAAGCAAGGGAGGGAAAAAAAGGAGGAAAGGAACGAATGGTGAGTGTGAGTTTAGAGGAGCTTGGACGTGGAGCAATGAGCCACACCAATACTTAGCAAAGCGAGGCACATCAGTCCCTGCTTGGGCCGTGTGTGGAGGGCGGTGAGGAGAGGGAACAGCTGTGGCTGTAGCACGTGTGACTCTAACAGGAGAACCGTGTCGTTGGCACTGGAAGCAGCAAGCAAGGGAGGAAGAGGAAAAGAAGGGAGGAAACAAACGAAAGGTGGGTGAGCAGCGGGGGGAAGAGGGAAATGCTGTAGAAAATCGTGAGGTGCCACACCGACACTTAGCAAAGCAAGGGACAGCAGCCCCTGCTTGGCTCGTGTGTGGAGGGCGGTGGGCAGCGGGAGAGGGAGCAGCTGTGGCTGTAGAACATGTGATTCTAACAGGAGTACAGTGTCGTTGGCACTGGAAGATATGGAAACAGCAGGGGTGGTTGGGAAAGAGGACGGGAAGGAAGGGAGGAGTAAGAAAGAGGAAAGGAACAAAATATGAGCGCGAGAATAGCGGAGCGGGGACGAGCGGCAGGGAAGCCACACCGACACTTAGCAAAGCAAGGGACAGCAGTCCCTGAGCAGGAAAGAAGGAAAGGGGATTTGTGAGAGGGAGAAGAAAAAGCTGTGGCTGTAGCATGTGGGCAGGAAGAGGTTGAGATAACCTCCTTCAGAAAGCATGGACTTCAATGCTGATTGACTTTTACACTTCTGGCGTGGATTTGAGACATCTCAAAAATTAGAAAAAAAACACTCTTCTTTAAGCTCCTTCAGAAAGCATAGGCCTTCAATGCTGATTGACTTCTTCACTTCTGGCTTTTTTGTGTTTGTATATATATTTATATATATGTATATATATATATATATATTTTTAGAATTCACTCTTTTTTCCATTTTTTTTTTCAATATGGACTTCAACGCTGATTGACTTTTACACTTCTGGCGTGGATTGGTGAGAGGGACGAGTGAGCGAGAGGTTGCTGCACTGCATGCGGGTTGCTGTGCCGTGTGGTTGGAAGAACCCTGCCAAGAAAGTATTTGTGCTAGTTGATGGTCACTAGATGCGGTGAACTTAAAAACCCCAAATAAGAAACGCTCACCGTGCGTTGGACACAGTAATTCGATGAACTGAATATGGAACCCTGACCAGAAATTTCAACCAGAAACACTGACCGTATGGTGAAAAGAACCGTGTCAAGAAAGTGGTCTGGGTGCGGATGGCTCTGGCGTGCATTGGTGAGACAGTGAGTTGGACAGAGGGTCCAGGTGCGGTACGTACCACAGAGCATACTCGGCAAAGATAGCAGGCAGCTTACTGCTAGCTCACCGTGTGGTGTAGTTTTGAGACGTCTCAAAACTAGACGTCTCAAAACTAGACGTCTCAAAACTAAGCGTGTCAATACTCGGCAGGGATAGCAGGCAACTTACTGCAAGCAAGCTCACCGTGTGGTGGGGAGGACTTGGTCGAGAAAGTAGTCTGTGCTAATTGCCTTGAGTGGCTCTGGCGTGGCTTGGCGAGAGGCTGAGTGGGCACTGCACTACACTGCATGTGGGTTGCTGGGTCTAGCAGGCGCCTAGCTCACCGTGTGGTGGGGAGGACTTGGTCGAGAAAGTAGTCTGCGCTGATTAACTTCAGTGGTTCTGGCGTGGCTTGACGAGATGAAGAGTGGGCTGCAGTAGCCTGTGACACAGTAGCAGCAACAGAAGCAGCAAAAGCCCGGAAGGGAAAGAACCAAGAGCTTGTGCTGCTGCTCCTGCTACTGCGTGCGGACCTAACTCACCGACTTTTGAGGCGCCTCAAAAGCTTGTGCTGCTACTCCTGCTACTGCGGACCTAACTCACCGTGTGGTGGGGAGAATCTCAAGCAGAAAGTAGTCTGTGCTGATTGACTTTAACGGCTCTGGCGTGGGCTGGCGATAGAGTGAGTCGGATGCAGCAGGAGAAGAGGCAGAAGCAGCAGAAGCCCGGAAGGGAAAGAACCAAGAGCTCGTGCTGCTACTCCCGCTAGTGCTCGCCTCGCTTCCCCTGCTGCTCCTCTGTCTTGATGTTGCATCTGCTACCTGAGACCTGCTGCTGTTTTTCTCGTTTTCACCTTCCCTAGCCCCTGCCTTGCTTCTCCTGCTGCTGCTGCTGCTGCTGCTGCCACTAGCAGCAGATGAGCCCAGGGGATCGACTGTGTGCTGGTTCAACGGACGAATCAGGCGGTGCCACGTGGAGGTGAGGAAGCCTTGGAACGAGCCCGGCCGCGCTCCAAAGGTGGGGACCTGCTCCGAGGCGTCTGCAATGGGAAGAGGGGATGAGAGGAGGGAGAGGAGGAAAAGAGGAGGAAGAGAGGAGGAAAAGAGGAGGAAGAGAGGAGGAGCGAGGAGGATAAGGAGTGGAGGCGAGGACGGCTTGGAAGGAGCCTGGTCGAGCTCCAAAGGTGGGAAACTGCTCTGACGCGTCTGTGTGGGAGGACGGGGGAGATCAGAGAAGAGAAAGAGGAGGAGGGAGGAGTACAGAAGAGTAAGTAAGGACAGGGAAAGGCTTGGAAGGAGCCTGGCCGTGCTCCAAAGGTGGGAACCTGCTCTGATGGGTCTGAGGGGGAGGAGAGGGGGAGGGAGGGAGCGAGATAGGGAGATGAGAGGAGAGAAACGAGGAGGGAGGAACGAAGGAGCCTTGGAACGAGCCTGGCCGTGCACCAAAGGTGGGGACCTGCTCTGATGCGTCTGTGTGGGAGAGGGGATGATGAGCAGAGAGGAGATGAGAGAGCGAGGGAGGCAGAAGACTGAAAGGCTTGGAAGGAAGGAAGGAACGAGCCTGGTCGTGCCCCAAAGGTGGGGACCTTCTCTGATGAGTCTGAGGGAGAGAAAGAAGGGGGAATGTTGAGAGGAGAGGAACGCGAAGTGAGTCGACCCCAATATACATGACCTGGCCGCCAGTGCTGATAAAGTGAATGTGTGATGGCACATCACAGGGATTTCTCTCAAATACACACTTCTCTTCTCTCGCTCTCTCACCTATAAGACCAACGAGGCCGAGTGAGTCGTCTCCAATGTACATGACCCGGCCGCCAGTGCTGATGGCGCGATGGAAGAGACGGGTGAGGGCCTGATGTGGGAGGAGAAGGGAGGGTGGGGGGGATGGGATGGGTGGGGGAATGGGTGGGGAAAAGGGGATACCAGGCGCACCAGGGTGAGTGAGTCATTCGCTAAGTGCATGACCCGGCCACCAGTGCTGCTGGAGTGATGGAAGAGGCGGGTGAGGGCCTGGTGTGGGGGGGGTTAGGGGGAAGGGGTGGGAAGAGATGGGGAGAGGTGGGGAAGGGGGGTATCAAGCCCACCAGGCGCACGAGGCCTAATGAGTCAATCCCAATGTACATGACCTGGCCGCCAGTGCTGATTGAGTGATGGGAGAGGCGAGTCAGGGCCGGATGTGGGGGGAGAGAGGGGAAAAAAGGTTGCTGCGTAACCATAAAATCACAGTACCAAACCTTGGAAGTAAGTAGCTTTGTGTTCCGAGAGGTAAAAAAAAAGGAAAATACAACTATGAATAACTCACCACAATTCCGGGTAATTGCTGGTAAACCCCCCTCATCGCCCCCTCATAAGCCGCCATCACATCGCCGTACCGAGCCGCCGGGGCAGCCTCGGTTCGGCCCCAGCCTACCCGTGCCGCCCGCCGAACCGACGTGGTATCGTCAGGAGTGAGCTCGGGAGGAGGGTTGATGAGCAGAAGGGGCACTCCTGCATCTGATATGGGGGGGTGGGAAGGGGGGCAGGGAAGAGGAGATATCATATATTGCACGTGGTGTCTTCGGGAGTGAGCTCGGGAGGAGGGTTGACGAGCAGAAGGGGCACTCCTGCATCTGATACGGGGGGAGAAAGGGGGAGAAGGGGGGTAGAGGAGTGAGCTTTAAGAGTACAGAAATTCTTCGCATATCGTTTCTGCCACTTGGTGGCTTCGGGAGTGAGCTCCAGGGGAGGGTTGATGAGCAGGAGGGGCACTCCCGCATCTGACATGGGGGGAACAGGTGGGAAGGGAGGAATCCGAGAACTGCCAAAAGCTATCCTTGGGAGTGAGCTCTGGAGGAGGGTTGAGGTGACTTTTTAGTCGACTCAAAAGTCAAAGGCTATCCTTGGGAGTGAGCTCTGGAGGAGGGTTGAGGTGACTTTTGAGTCGACTCAAAAGTCAAAAGCTATCTTTGGGAGTGAGCTCTGGAGGAGGGTTGATGTGGAGAAGGGGCACTCCCGCATCTGATATGGGACGGGGGGGAGGGTAGGAAGAAATGAGGTGTAAGTCTCAAAAACACCCTCTCTACACGAGACATCTCGAAAACACCCTCTCTACAGGTAGGAAGAAATGAGGTGTAAGAAAATGGCGACATCTTATTGTGATTTGCCACGTGGTGGCTTCGGGAGTGAGCTCTGGAGGAGGGTTGATGAGCAGAACGGGCACTCCTGCATCTGGTATGAGAAGTGGAGAGGGGAGAAGAGATGACGTGTACGATGATGGTGACATATTGTTTCCCTTTCCCACACCCTGGCTTCGGAAGTGAGCTCGGGAGGAGGGTTGATGAGCAAGAGGGGCACTCCTGCATCTGATAGAGGTGGAGGGGAAAAGTGGAGGTAGAGAGGTAGGTCGGAAAAGGGGGAGAAGGGGGAGAAGAAATGAAGTGCAAGAAACACGGCGACACTTTGTTTTGATTTACCACTTGACGTTTGAGAATTCTCAAAGTCACATCAACAAAATCCACAAGGTTTTTGAGGCGCCTCAAAAATCGTTTATGTGAGGTGGCATGGCATCGCATGGCATGGCATGGCATGGCATGGCATGGCATCGCATGGCATGGCATGGCATGGCATGGCATGGCATGGCATGGCATGGCATGGCATGGCATGGCATGGCATGGCAAGAACACTTGGACAGGCTGGAATCCACAAGGTGGCCTCCACACGAAATCTGATCTGACTGCCAGCCAGCACTCACAAGCTCAGCCTGAAATCAACGCACAACCACCCGCGCTCATCCGAGTGCCAGCACTCACAGCTTCTCAGGGCAGGCAAGCGCAGCACTCAGGCAATCACGCTCACATTGAAGTCAGCTCACACACACGCCCACATGCTTACACGCTCATCTGACTGCCAACAGCCACACGGACACTCACAGCTTCTCAGGGCAGGCAAGCGCAGCACTCAGGCAATCACGCTCACATTGAAGTCAGCTCACACACACGCCCACATGCTTACACGCTCATCTGACTGCCAACAGCCACACGGACACTCACAGCTTCTCAGGGCAGGCAGGCAGGCGCAGCACTCAGGCAATGGCTCGGCCGGAAATGGTTGAAAATGGTCTCCATAAGATGGGACTGCTGCAACAGCAGCCCCACGGCCTCTACTCACACCCACCCCCCACACGCTCAACTCGTTTGACTGCCAGCACTCACAGCTTCCAAGGGCGGGCAGGCGCAGCACTCTGGCAAAAGCCCGGCTGAAGATGGTCTCCAGAAGGACCTTGGTGGCAGTGCCGCCCTTGAGCCGCGTGGACCCTGTGACGGTCTCCTGTGGTTGTTTAGCAGCAGCAAGGATATGAGCAGAGAAGGAAGGGAAAGTTCAGTTGAAGGACCTTGGTGGCACTGCCGCCCTTGAGCCGCGTGGACCCTGTGACGGTCTCCTGTGGTTGTTTAGCAGCAGCAAGGATATGAGCAGAGAAGGAAGGGAAAGTTCAGTTGAAGGACCTTGGTGGCAGTGCCGCCCTTGAGCCGCGTGGACCCTGTGACGGTCTCTTGTGTGGTAAGATGTCATATTGGCATGGTGGCATGGTGGCGTGGTGGCATGGCGGTAAGGGGGTAGGGTTGAGTTAGAAGGATTAGAAGGGTTGAGTCACGGCTCGGAATGATGATGGCATGGCGTCCGACAAGCTCCGGCCTTTCCCACCCCTCCCCACCCCTCCCACCCTACCTACCGGGCCAACAGCAGGAGAGAGGATGAAGTGCCTTGGGGCAGTCCCCTCTGCTTCAGCAGCTTCGATGCGAGCCCTCATTTCTGAAAGCACGGACGGGAAGGTCACGCCTGGAGCACCCTGGTTGGGAATGGAAAGGAAGGAGTGGGGAAGACAGTAAGAGGTGGTGTCTGTTTCAGCAGCATCAATGCGAGCCCTTAGCTCTTGAAGAACAGACTGGAAGGTGACACCTGCAGCACCCTGGAAGGGGATGGGGGCGTGAAACAGAGGGAGAGAGAGGCAAGCAAAGAATCTCACTCGCACTTGCACCACCTGCAACCACCCTCCATCCCCACACCACACACCCTTCATGCCCTCACCCACCCACCTTGGTGTTTGGCGCGAGAGAGGGCGGATTGAAACCCATGACTGCACCAGCACAATGCCCCCACCCACCTCCAGTACCCACCCCCACCTTTCATGCTCCCACTCACCCCCCACACACCCTTCATGCCCTCACCCACCCACCTTGGTGTTTGGCGCGAGAGAGGGCGGATTGAAACCCATGACTGCAACGGCATAGTGCGACTGTGACAGGGCGTACTGGAGGGATGAGAGGGGGACAGCGAAGGAAGCAAGTGGTAGAGGATGTGTGAAAGGACGGCGGGTTGAAGCCCGTGACAGCAACGGCGTAGTGCGGCTGGGAGAGGGCGTACTGGCGGGATAGGGAGGAAAGTGGGTGGACGGCAGGATAAAAGAGGATCATGCGTGTGTGCAAGCGGTGAAGCCCATGACAGCAACGGCGTAGTGCGACTGGGACAGGGCGTACTGGTGGGATGGGAAAGGAGGAAAGAGAATGGAGCAATGGAGTGTGCATGCTGTGTGTATTGTGCATGTGTGCTTTTGTGCAAGGATTAAAGCCCATGACAGCAACAGAAGAGCATATTGCTTGACTTGCTTGACACACACTTGACTTGTGACCCACCTTGATTTCTTACACATGCATGACTTGTTTGACCCATGCTTGCCACATTTCAAAACGTATCTTGACTTGCTTGACTCACCTTGACTTGTGCTGCCACGTAGGGAGCGCTGAGGCCACAGCTGATGCCGATCTGAGGCAAGACAGAGAAGTGCGGGGGTGCAAGTGGGTGGTGAGGAGGAAGTAGAAGATGCAGTGCGGTTTGAAAGTAGACACAGCCATACAGGTGATCTGCGTGTCAATTTTCACGTAGGCTTTGAGCCGTCTTAGGAGAAAACTTTGGTGCGGAGTTGAGACGTACACGTAACAAGGCGAGACATCCTCGAAAAAATATTAATTCACTACTGCAGCACACAGGGAGCTCAACGGCTGTTGCAGGGATTTCATGAGAATTCTCAGAAAATCCCTGAGAATTCTCTAAAAAACCCTGCGATCCTAAAAATATCCCTTTAACACAATAAGTATCCCTAAAAAAATTCCGGAAAGAAAAGAACACAAGGTGATACCACGAGAATACTCGGAGCGCATGGATGCATGGCGCATGGATGCATGGCGCATGGATGCATGGCGCATGGATGCATGGCGCATGGATGCATGGCGCATGGGTGCATGGCGCATGGGTGCATGGCGCATGGATGCATGGCGCATGGGTGCATGGCGCATGGATGCATGGCGCATGGGTGCATGGCGCATGGATGCATGGCGCATGGGTGCATGGCGCATGGATGCATGGCGCATGGGTGCATGGTGCATGGCGCATGGGTGCATGGCGCATGGATGCATGGCGCATGGGTGCATGGCGCATGGATGCATGGCGCATGGGTGCATGGCGCATGGGTGCAGGGGTGATATACCTGTGCATCAGAACAAGAATGACTCACATAGAGCACTCGCCCGCACGGCTTCCCCCACGGGTTGCCTCTTGCTTCCACTCGCCTCAGAGCCGCCACTGCTGCCTCCTGATTGTCCTCCGCGCCCTCCTGCGCCTGGTGTAATGGTACACAAGGGGTGACAGGGAGAACAGCGTGCAAGCCGAGGCATAGGGAGGTGGGGACGGGGGGGGGGGTGTTCACTGTGCTTCACTCCTCTCCCTTCCACTCGCCTCAGAGCCGCCTCTGCTGCCTCCTGGTTGTCCTCCGCCCCTTCCTGCGCCTGGTGTGTGTGGTGTGGAGAGGTGTAGGGGGGGGTGACAGGAGGTATGGGGTGGTAGTCTCCCCGGCCCCTCCCACACACACCCACATGCACGCACGCACTTATACACACACACCATAAGAAGGGCGTGTAGTTACCTGCCTACGGTGTGTGTTTATGCGTGCGTGCATGTGGGTGTGTAACCCCCCTGCGATGAGGAGGTGGAAGCAGGGCGGCAGAGCCATATCATCGGAGCACACCATACCACACCATACCAACATACCCCCGCTTGCCCACACACACCTACCTTGAGCAGTGCAGTGCAGGCAGTCCCCCTCCGACGAGGAAGTGGAAGCAGGGCGGCAGGCCGTAGAACATGCTACCTCGTCTTCCCCTCCCCCTGTCTCCCCCGCTCTCTCCCCCCCCCTCCGACCTACCTTGAGCAATGCAGGTAGACCCCCTGCGACGAGGAAGTGGAAGCAGGGCGGCAAGTCATATTAATAGATATTCAGCACTATGCCTGCATGCTCCCAAACCACCCTCCCACCCCAGCCCACCCTCCCACACACACCTACCTTCAGCAATGCAGGTAGCCCTCCTGCGATGAGGAAGTGGAAGCAGGGCGGCAGGCCGTATCTCCTGAGCACAGCGTTGAAACAGAGAACCACCTGCAGGTGATTCCTCAGTTGGTCGGTCAGGTGGCTGGATAGTTTAGCTGTTAAATAAGTGACTTTTCTTTTCTTTTCTTTTTTTATCACAGGACTTTTAGCCACTTTGAAGTGTTTATAAGAGCTATGCAATAAGTAGAAGAGACAGCGATCTCATTAAAAGAAAAGGGAAATGCAGGGAACGAAATACAATACTAGAAAAGAAAAAGCACCTGAAAGGCTATTCTGCCACTGGTGCCAGCACCTGACACCACCACAGCACTATCCTGGAAAGGGAAGGTAAAGGTGGTTGGGGTGATGTGATCAAAGGAAAGGGGAGTGTGAGGCAAAGGGAACAGGGTGGGTGCTTCTTGTGCTGGAAGGTAGTAGATGGGGTAGACAGAACAGACGAATCCACATGCGAACGGGAGAGAAAGGGGGGAGAATGGGGTGTAAGGGGAAGCGAGGGGAAGGGAAGGGTGGGGTGTAAGGGGAAGCGAGGGGGAGGGAAGGGTGGGTGAGGGGAAGCGAGGGGAGGCGAGGGGAAGGGAACAGTTACGTGCCTTGGAGAAGGAAACGATTTCAGCTGCCACTGCCGTGAGCTGGTCGACCACCCGAATGGTCTGATGCACGGATGTGGGAAGGGAAGGGGGACGGACAGGGTAGGAGAAAGGGATAGGAGAAGATGGAAAGAGGGGCAGAGCAGAGGGGAGGGAGATAGAGGCGGGGGGGTGGGGGAGGGGGGGAAGAAGAGCAGCAGCATGCGTTGGAAAAGGAAAGAGCACTTTTGAGAACCCTCAGTAAGAAGAGACGATTTCAGCTGCCACTGCTGTGAGCTGGGCTACCACTCTAATGGTCTGATGCGCGGATGTGGGGGGAGGTGGGTGGGCAGGGGAAAGGTGGATGCATCATGCACATGAGGCCCACCTCCCCCATCTGATTTACGGATGGGGGAAAGGTGGGCAGGCAAATGGACAGTTTTGAGAATTCTCAGAGGCCGCTGCTGTGAGCTGGGCTACCAGAATGCTTGACATAGACGCTGGGCAACCTTGTCTGTGAGCTGGGCTACCACTCGAATGGGCTGATGCAGTGAGGGCGGGTAGGGGGCGGGTAGGGGGCGGGCAGGGGAAACGAGGGTGGACAGGAGGTAGGTTAGCCGGCAGGGGGTAGGTAGGCGGGGAGGAGGGGGGGGTGAGACAGCTCTGATATTTTCACAAAAGGCCACTGTTGCTGTTAGGGGAAGGGAGGGGAAGGGAGAGGAGCTGCTGTGTGCTGGTCTAGCACTCCAATGGGCTGATGCAGCGACGGCGGGTAGGTGGTGGGCAGGGGGAACGTGGGCGGACAGGACATAGGTTAGTCGGCTCGGCCGGCAGGAGGTGGGGAGGGGGGGGAAAGGGGGTGGGGGCAGTACTGAGATTTCCCAAAAGGCCACTGCTGCTGTTAGGGGAAGGGAGGGAGGGGAGCTGCTGTGTGCTGGTCTAGCACTCCAATGGGCTGATGCAGCGAAGGCGGGTAGGGGGTGTGCAGGGGGAGGGGAGGGGTACCGACACAGGGGGAGGGGGAGGGGTGCGGTCACAGGGGGAGAGGGAGGGGTGCGGTCAAAGGGGGTGGGGGAGGGGTGCGGTCACAGGGGATGGGGGAGGGGTGCGGTCACAGGGGGTGGGGGAGGGAGGCAGAAGAGGACGGAGGACAAAAAGTTAAACAGAGTGGACAGAGCGTGAAAGTAAATCAGAACATGTAGAGGGGGATTCTTTCACATTACATCAGACACCAAGAAATACATAAAGCAAGCTCACCCTGTGCCCCATACTCCCCCCTCTGCAGTCCCCCCTCTGCACTCCCCCTTCTGCGCTCCCCCCTCTGCACTCTCCCCGCTTCGTAAATCATTTGAGTAATTCCATTGACAGGCAGGCTTGGGATGGGAAAACAAACCAGCCCGACACTTTGCCCTTGAATTGTGCTTTCAACGAAGCTGACCGTTTCCGTGAATGTTACCAGAAATTTCGCAGGCGAGACCGTTTTCGCACGCTCACCTCTTCGTCCATCAGGCCGGGGAAACCCGCATAGCCGGCGAAGAGCTGCGCGTCGCACGCGCGGAAAATTCGCACAATTTCATCGGGCGATGCGACGTCTATCGCGGAGGACATCTCATTCGGTCGCTCTGTGAGAGGCAGCTCGTGCGACCGCACTTGCGACAGCGAATGCGACATTGTATGTGACTGCGACTGCGACTGCGACAGCGAAATGCGAATGCGACAGTCGATGCGGCAACGGTGCGACGATGGGCTGGTACGGATGACTCTATCTCGAGTTTACCGCAGCTGCACCTCGTGCCTACATAATACTTCGCTACAAAGCTTCTCAATACTGCTTCGTCATCTCGACTGTCAGCTTGCGTATCAACGCAAGCATTCGTAACACTCAACTCAATTGATACGCCGCCTGAAAGGCTGTGCAGTCTACGAAGTGTGCTGTTATGCTCCCATCCCATGACTCTTTTCCACCCACTCACCCACTCTTCCATTTCGAGCCCCTTTCGTTTGGACCGAGGCGTGGTACAAATTCAAAACAGCATCGAAAACCATGAAAAAATCTCGTTGTTCCGGCTCCAGACGAATCTTGACGGTCTTTCGAAAACTGCTGGCGAACATTATGCGACTTTAACGAAGAAAGATTTCCATTAAGGCAACCATCGCCGTCACAACCTCTCGAATAAGAGAAACACGCCTTGACTTTCTTTCTGTTTGGTGTTCCGTTCCTCAGATACTTCAGTGGAACGTAGGAGAGCAGAGCAGAACTCAGGAGACAAATAGATACGGTTCACTCCGTCAGATCAAAGAGCTTGTCATGATAAAGGTGTAGATAATTGAGATAAGGACAAAAGATTATGATTGCACAATAGAATAAGACAAGAGTGAACAGTGGAATTGTAGTAAATGAGGATGAGCTTGATAGAAGAGAAGATGATACTTAGAACTTGTGACTATAAAGAGAAACTTGTGTAAGGTGGAATGCTTGATGAGATAAGAACTCAAAAAAGAGAAAGAGAGTATGAGCTTGTTGAGGGAATAAGAGAGGTGATAAGCACTTACTTAAGTGAATTTTACTAGGGATAGTTGTAGAGGTGACTTGTAGGAATGGCTTGGTCTTGAGAGCTTTACTTGAAGAAGAACATCAAGCTTGGTGTTGGGTGATGATCCTTCCTCAAGCTTGTAGGAAGTAATGAACCTTATACTCAAGTAGAGTATGAGGTGACTACTCTTCACTTGATGCTTAACTTTGTAGACTAATGAGAGACACTTTGTGAGCATAAACTTATATTGAAAGAGGTATAGTACAAGCCTTATAGATCCATGAGGGATACATAGGCATGCATAGAGAGAGTAACCATCAATGGTAGCCTTGGAAGAGAGTTGCATGAGAGTATCAACTTTTGGAGACATAGAACTTGGTTGCTAGTGAGGAGCCTTTGTAGTACAAGAGGAGCTTGAAGGAGAAGCTTGGAATTGAGCTTGGTGAAGAAGCTTGGAATGCATTGTTGTCATTGAAGAACCTTCTTGAGAAGTTGTAGAGATGCTTGATGTAGATGAATAGTATTGGAGCATGTGATGGTGGTTGAGCACTTGATGAGTTGGAGATGTAAGCCTTGTTGAGTTGGAAGAGAGCTTAGTGAGTTGGATAAGGATGAGTGGAGGAGATGATGAGCTTTGTTGCCTTGTAATAGGAGGTGATGGGATAATCATGAAGTCCTTAGGGATGAGGTGGCAACTTTGGTGACTTGGGAAAGGAAGGAAGGGAGGAATAAATGAGAGGCATGTGGAGGTTGATGAGTAGGAAGTGGAAGCATGTGCTTGAAGGCACATGGGAGGAGGATAATTGGAGGAGGTAGATGACTTGGGTAAACTTTGATGAGTTGGAAAGGAAAGCACATGGAAAATCATGAGGAGTCATGTGCCTTATGGTGGGACTTGAGGATGAGTATGGGAAGTTGGTTTGAATATTGGTTGAGTTGGACTAGGAAAGGCTATGGTGGTTGGGAGTAGTTAAAGAGGTGGTTGATAGGCTTGAGTTGGAGAGGATGCGTTGGAAAAAGGAGTTTGTAACTTGAGTGGTTGGAATAGGCTTTGGAGGAGTTGAGTGGTTTGGATGGGTTCTTAGGAAAATGTGTCGAGGGTGTTTTGAGGGGAAGGGGTTGGAGTGGCACAGTAGCGTGGCACGTGAAGAGCGTGCCATTCACAACAAAAGGACCAGGCAAAGCTAAACTCTCGCGAAGGCTTCTAGCTTGCTGGACCTTGCTAATATTGTGAAATATCGTAATTTCCACAGACATAGGTTCACCGTAACCTGATCCACAATCTTAGTTCAGGTACAGCCATGTCTTCACACATTAACAACCTGTCAGATGACCTCCTTGTTAAGATCTTCTGGCATTCTCATAACCATGTCCCTGCTCGCCGTCAATCTGAAAACCAGAATCATCCGCTGGGCTTGCCACGACCGATGTACCCCTCCAAAAACCCGAGTTTTTCAATGGCTTCTGTGATACCACGACCCAGGTACACCTCCGAAAACCCGTACGGCGAAGATCTTAACACCCTCGATGGCTCTTTCAGATCGTCCTCCCTGCAGCGAAACGGAGATTTGACTATTTCTAGTACTACTCCATTATCAGCTCCTACCGCGCTCACAGATCCGGCGTATAACCTTCTCATTGCTTCCGTTTGCACGCGCTGGCGTCGCCTGGCTGGCCAGCAGGTCTCCATGCTCGTCGTGAGAAAGAACATCGCCGTTTCCCTTGAAGATCTCACTGCTGTCATCAAGTGCTTTTCAAGCATCTCCCATCTGCATCTCAGCGACAACAGCGTAGAGACTATCAACGATGCATTTTTCGATTTCCTCACTTCGACATGCCCTAATCTGGTGTCGTTGCACGTGGGGAGGGATATTACGTCGAAGTGGGACTGTTTTCGGCCGAAAGAGCATCCGGTTACCGAAATCGGTTTGGATCGGTTCTTTCGCCGCTGCACCCAACTGCAGCACCTATCGCTCTACTTTTTGCATTACTACGGGAAGTTGCCGGATTCTCTCTCGCTCCTCACCAACCTTCACACTCTCGCTCTCACCGATAGCTCGCCTCTCCATTCTTCAAGAATCACAAACCTGACTTCTCTCACCACCCTCTCCGTCGGAATTCCGGATCAGGAAGACGTGAATCTGTCGAGCCTCGGGCCACTCCCAGCCATCACGACCCTCGTTTTATTCGACAATACATGTCTAGATCTAAAAGACCGCGGCGCCTCCTACCCTTTTTCATTCGCCCAAACACCTTCGCTGAAAGCCCTAGAGTTCGAGAGGTGGAGTCCGGATTTCGAGTTAATGTTTCCATCAAGAAACACATTCAGTCGTCTCGAGCGGTTACTTATCAAAGGTTGCGACAGCCTCGAGCGGCTTCCTGACGACATTGGCGAACGATTGCCACGCCTTCGCGAGCTGAGCTTGTCTGGATGCAAAAACTTTCCGAGCTGCCCGAACAGTTCACTTCCCTAACCTGCCTGCAGCAACTCATGCTGAACCGCCTCCCAATCTCCAGTCTCCCAGATTCGTTCTACCAGCTGACGTCGCTCGAAACCCTCTGCCTGTCTCATTGCAACTCGATATCCGAGCTGCCTGCGAGATTCGGTTTCCTCACCGCACTCAACTCCTTAAGTATCCTCAACTCGCCGTACCTGACGCTCCCAGACGACATAGGCTCACTCACAAATCTTCACACCTTCCGGTTAACTGAAAACTTCTCCCAGCAGCTCCTTCCATCCTCGTTCACGCAGCTATCTTCGCTCACAAGACTCCATCTCACCAAGTGTATGGTACTAGCTGACCTTCCAGAGGACTTGCGAAAGCTGACTAACCTGCGCGTACTGACCATCCAGTCCTGTCCTAGTTTACAGAAGCTTCCTCAGTCTATTACTGACCTTATCATCCTAGAGGTTCTGAAAGTTGTAGACTGCGACATCCTCGCTTCAATTCCCACCAGCTTGAGCAACTTTAGAAGGCTGAGGATTCTAGCACTAGCCAAGCTCCCCCAGCTAGCACAGGTATCGGGATCCCTGCCCTGTTCCCTCGAGCTTCTTTCGACAGGGAGGTTCAAGCGGCCCACCCCTCTGCTGGAAATTTCAGAACTGCCGAAGCTGAGAGGAATGAGCTTAACCTGTGCAGGGCCTATGGTTGGACTGCCTACTGGCTTGACTCTGCCTACTCTGGATCACTTACAGCTGGTCCTGGTTGGAGATGCAAAGGCAATCCCTTTGCCTCTGGAACTTCTTTCTGACCTCCGCAGCTTGACAATCTGTAGCGGCGCTCGCATGAAGAACCTTCCGGAAGAGTTTGGTTTGGCCTTGCAGAAGCTGAGGCGGCTGGGGATTCGCCGGGTTGTGGAGTTAACGGAATTGACAGAGAGTTTCACAGAGCTTCGGTCCCTGATATTTGTTGAGATCCATGCTCCTAAGCTTTCCTCTCTTCCGGAGGGCATCGGGGCGTTATCCCGACTTCGCCAGCTGAATTTGGCCAACTGATCTTCGCTTACCCAGCTTCCTTCTTCCATCACCCAGCTTTCCTGCCTTCATGAGCTGAATCTCAGCTGCACTGCCATTGGCTCCCTGCCTTGCCACTTTGGACAGCTGAGCCGGCTTAAAGAAACTAAACCTGGATGGATGCGAGAGACTGACTGTGCTACCTGAGGATTTCACCCAGCTCAGGATGCTTCACAAGTTGACTTGTAAAGGGTGTGGCGAGATTGCATCTGAAGGTGTGAGGGATATCTATGGGTTGGAGATTCATAGTGATTTTGATCAGGATCCTTTCGAGGGTCTACCGTAGTTTTTTTCTGTCTGAAAATCAAGCCTGTTTTTATTTTTGTTTTGTGATGGTCTGTTCTGACGAAGCACTAGTCTAGGATGGTCTAGGTTTCACTTACGGTAAAAAAACGGTAACTGGGTAGTGCAACTTCACTGTTGATGTTAGGAAGTCCTTATGCTAACACGGTAAATTTAGTCATAAGGATTGTTGAGCTGAATGCTCTTTGGGTACATTAGGGCCTCACACGATATCACAAAAACTTGGGCCGACTGGGTCACCCCTCAAAACCACCCTGAATTTCAGGAAGCATGATAATTTACACCGAGGCTCTGAGTATCTGTGCAGGTACCATATGAGACTCAAATTCACTAAATCAAGGTGCTTTTGCATTGCAGTACACTTGTACCAGCACATGACCCGAGACAAGTGATGACTAAATAAACAAATGTATCACACTTATGCATATCCTCCACGCAAACTCTAATGGTATGGTAAGAATGCAATCTGGAATACGTTACGCTGCTAAACGGCACCACAGTACATCTCTAAGCTTTCGATTTCACCTTGGGAAGGAACACATGCACTCGGCTCAACACGTCCCGGAACGATACAGGGAAGGAATGAAGGAAAAGGTGTGGACTCCCTTCCACACTGTACACTCTGAACGTGCTGCCGCTGCCACCACCGTTGCCACCATCGCTGCCTCTGCTGCTGCCGCTGCTTCTGCTGTTTACGCTCTCACTGCTACTGCTGCTATTTGAGCTGCTGCTGCTGCCGTTCGAGTTGCCGCTGCTACTAGTGCTGCTTGCACCATTCGTCTGCCGCACACAGCTGGCACAGGTGCTGCTGCTGCTGTTTCTCAATCCGTTCCCCCGAGAGGTGTCACCAGCAAGGGTTGCTGCTCCTCCACTGCCGTCACGGATACTGCTTCTGCTGTTGCTGGTACCGCCACAAGCATCAGGAAGAGTAGTAGGCGCAGCAGCAGCAGCAGCAGCAGCAGCAGCCGCATGGATACCACCAATTCCCACAGCACTCACACAAGCACCATCAGTGACCCTGCAACAGGCACCCCCACATGCCCCACCCTTCCCTCTCTGACCATCATCACCTTCCCATGCACACTCAGCCTGCTCCTTCCCTTCCAGCCCCTCACTCTCTCTTAACCCACACCCCTGAACGGCTCTTGAATGTTCTTGAGCAGCCCCCTCCTCTGCCTTATGGTTTCGCCTCCTTGCTTTGTCCTCTCCTCCCGCTCCTGTCCTCCCCTCCACCGCCCCCCTTCCTTCCCTTACCCTTCCACCTACTCTCCTTCCTGCTCCAACTCCTCCCTTTCCTCCTCCCACAAACTCCAGCCACACCCCACCTGGAACCTGATCAGGCCGATACAGCCTCACCAGCAGCAGATACACCGGGAAGGACAGCAGGAGCGAGGCAGCGGCTTGCAGGGCGGAACGGACAGCCGAGATCGCAAGACAGAGCGAGGCGAAGAGGATGTGGAAGATGGCGGTGGTGGGGAGGAGGAGGGTGAGGATGGTGAAGAGCAGCGAGCCGAGGGTGAGTTGCCCGAGGGTGCACTCCACTGAGTCAATGCGCTTGTGTAGAGGGTTCCACTTGAGGCCACTGGGAGGGGAGGGGGAGATGGGAGAGGGGGATAAATGGGGGGGAGGATAGGGAGGGAAAAAAAAAAACAAAAAACTATGAGACTTGAAAGCAAAGATTCGCAACTACCGGTACTTTGAAAAATACGTCTGAGAACCAGTTCGCTCCACGTGACATGCAACAGGCCTAACGGACTCACCAACTCTGTAATTAAAGACTCACTTGAAGAGGCGCCAGAGGGCAATGACAGCGTTGAGCTGCATGCGATACATGGGCGCCAAGCACCACAAGCCAAAGCCCAACCAAGTCCCACGCTCCTCCCCCATTCCCATATATATTGCCAGGAAATTGAAGACTCACTTGAAGAGGCGCCAGAGGGCAATGACAGCATTCAGCTGCATGCGATACATGGGCGCCAGGCACCAATGAACGAGCGCCAGCTGGAGGTTCGACAGCAGCACCAGGTCAGCTATAACCCCCACTGCGGCCGACATTCCCATAAACAGCCCTGCCGAACCAACCACCAGCACTGCCAGGTAGGGAAGTACCGAGCCATACGCGCCGCCGAAGCTAGCCCAAGCCTGCAGCGCCTGCCAGGATAGGGCGCCGTACGCAGCTGTGAGCTCATCATTGAGTTTGAGTCCAATAGGCTGGGAGATTAGTAGCACTATGCTGGTCCGGAGCACGTGATTGGTCAGGAAAAGGAAGAGGGAGGAGACAGCTGAAGCCACGGATCGGAAGAAGAAGAGGAGGAGGAGGGAGAAGAGGAGCCCAAGGGTATGGTCCAGAAGGAGAGAGGTCAGAGGGGATGCAATGCGGTGCTGCGCAATATGGAGGTCCATGGAAGAATGCAGGGGAAGCTTGGGTTTCCTGGATGCATTTCGGGCAAATTTGGGAATTTCAGAAGGAAAGTGAGTCGCTTTTGCAGGGTCTGTGTGAAAGCAGGGATTCTGATTGAGAGGCGTTTCAGGAGGGTCTGACGCTGAGGATAGGGATGCTTTCAAGGAGGCGCCTTTAAAAGGCTGAGTGGACGGATCTGGGGGATCACTACAAGTGACTGTGGCAGCAGTGGCAACAGCAAGCCCTGCTGTTTTGTCAACTTCTGCTGCTTTTCCTGTTGCTGCTGCTGCTGCTGCTGCTGCCACGTGTCCATCTGACACCATCACACCCCCTTTAACGAACACGCCCTCGTTTGAAAACAAGGACGCTGATTGGAGGGCTGCACGGAGCGACGCGATCAGCCGCTGCCGGCGTTTCATGCACTGCCACGTGGCAGAGTTGCTCTTCAGAGCAGCAGTCGCCGCCCGGCCAGTAGAAGTAACCAGCGATATGGTAACCACCCCAGCTTCCTGTAACAGCAGCAGCAGCGCCACAGGCGCAGCAGCAACTTGAGCCGCTACAACCAAACTCAGCCGCCCAACATGCCCCACAGAATCCAACGCAGCAGGATCCTCGTCCTCTTCTACAATCTCCCCCTCTAAAATCACCTCCTGCTTCGTATCCCCACCCTTGACCCCCAAAACCGTCCCCCATAATGCATCCCTCTCTTTAACAGGCTCAGCAGTCGCTACAGCTGCCTCTGCTCCTCCCAAATCTTCAACTGCCTTGGCCTGCTTCGCACTCTCCCGCACAGGCGGCCCCAGAAGCTGCTGGTGCAGTGAATCTGGACCAGTTGCAGCCTGCCCCAGTTCCGCCTTCCCCTGGCCCAACCCTCCCTGATTCAGCTCCTCCTGTGAAACCCCTGGTTCGCCCAGTGTCCTTTTTGAGATGCCTTGCATGCTCTCCACTACAAAAGTCCCTGTTGGTTTAACGTCAGAAGCTGATTTGATGTCGAAAGCCGAATTGCCTAGGATAAGGCTGGGAGGCTCCGTTGCTTCTAAAAGGTCTGTGCTTGCACCAGGGTCAGCTTCCTTGCTGGGCTTGGGTGTTGCCTTCCCAAGGAAGAACATGCGCTGGAGGGTGAATGGGAGGAGGGAGAGGGAAAGGGAAAGAGTCAAGAAGAAGGGAGAGGGAGACGGAGTGGCAACACAAGGAACAAAGTTTTAACCCAATAACCATAACTGCACTCTCACTCACCGCAAGAGCAGTGGAAATTACAGCAGGCGAGCCCCTAATAGCGCCTGGAATCGACCCCCCAGCAGCAGCCGCCGCACTTGCAGCTGTAGCAGCCGTCGCTGCCGTTGCAGCAGCTGCTGCTGACGCAGCAGTCGCCGCCGTTGCAGCTGTAGCAGCTGCCGTTGCGGCCGTAGCGGCAGCAGCGGCTGTAGCCGCCGTTGCTGCTGTGGCGGCCGTGGCGGCTGTAGCAGCAGCCGCTGCGCTGGCAGCAGTGGCTGCAGTGGCAGCCGTTGCAGCTGTAGCAGCAGCAGCGGCATTCGCGGCTGTAGCGGCTGTAGCAGCCGCAGCATTCGCGGCTGTAGCGGCTGTAGCAGCGGCAGCAGAGGCCGTGGCTGTAGCGCCGCGCCTACAGCTATCTAGAGTGCGAGAGGTTGTAGTGCTGATAGTGCTGGTGGCAGTGGTGATAGACGTTCCTATAGAGGTGGTGGCAGATCCGAGGGTGTTTGAAGCGGTTGCAAGGGATGTAGAGGCAGTGGCGAGGGCATGAGCCATGTTGAGCTTGTGGAAGGGAACGCTCTGTAGGAGGGGGAGGGGGCAGGGGGGAGCAAACAACAGAATCCAGGCTTGTGAGTTAACTCAGACAGGGGTTGGCCCCACAGGCTTCATCACTCTGCAACAACCCCATGCTAGCAGCTCCAAGGCTTGGCTTTGACTCGAAGGCATGCCCCCAACCCACGTATCCGCGCAGCTTGGCTCTCTGTGCGGCCAGGACGACCATGTGACCCTCATGCCTCACCACACAGCCAACCTACAGACTGACGTCTCACCGATCTGAACCCCTGCAACCACCTGATGGCAGCCCCAGCACTCACGTATCCGCGCGACTTGGCTCTCTGCGTCCTGGGGGGTTCAATGTGCCCCGAGGTGGCCCAGAACGACCGTAGCCACACGCCCACCCGCCCCGCCTCGCCTGGCGACCCCCTCGGCGACGTGGTAACCGCACCATTCGCATCATTCGCCGCGTTCGCTGCCTTTTTTTCCGAACCCGTGCTACCCGGACCTCCAAGGCCTTCCTCGTCTAGCCCCTCCGACCCATCTGAACCGTCCTCTACTCCTCCGCGCACCACGCTCATCCACCTGCGGCAATCCGCCACGTAGAAATGGCCGGGGAAGGTCGGCTGGTCGTAGAAAACGACCTGAAGAGAAAAGGGGTGTGGAATAAAATGGAGGAAAGGGAGCGAGAACGGAACGTGTGGTTCAATGCTATGCTTAACACCGAAAAGGGGTGCCTGAAAAGTATCTTGCAGCGCTTCAAAGCTCGTCCAGCTCCAGCACTCCGCCACGTAGAAATAGCCAGGGAAGGTAGGCTGGTCGCAAAAGACGACCTGCAGAGAGGGGTGTGGAATGGAGGGAACGAGAACGGGACGAGTGGTTCAATGATTGTCAACGCTAAGGGGTGTAAACGGTTTAAAGACTCTAGGAAATCGTTTTTGCGGCGCTTCAAAGCTCGTCCGCCTGCGACAATCCGCCGCGTTAAAATGGCCGGAGAAGGTTAGTGACTCCACGTAGAGACGACGACACACGCACCCGAGCGGACACTGCGCGCACCTAAGTGAGACACTGCGCGCTCCTGAGCGGACATCGCGCGCACCTAAGTCAGACAACGTGCGCTCCTGAACGGAAATTGCGCGCACGTGAGCGGAAACTGCGCGCACCTGGACTGACTCTGCGCGCACCTGAGCGGAAACCGGATGGCCAGCAGATGCAATGTCGGCCGGCTCCCCTGCGGCCGCTTCTGGTACCGGTTTCGATCCCCGATCCGACAGACCGGCTTCACTGGCTTCACTAACCGACTCTGCAGCTGCGCCGGCGGGTTTCTTGGAAGGAACGCCTGGAATCTCGCTGCCGCTGCACACAGAAAGAGGAGAAAGCATACAGCGTTAGCGGTATGAGTTTTAGGAGAGACATCCTGATGGTTGGCCTTGAAGCGGAGAGGTGAACAAGATGAGAGGGCTGCATACCCCGGGAAAAAAGAGAACAATGATAAAGCGAGGAGGTTCTAAGAAAGCTCACAATGCCAGGTTGAAGCACAGTTAAGGTTCTCCGACTAACCTTGTACCGCCGGGTTGCTTCAAATCTTCGTCGTCCGAGCTGTTGCTGGACCCATCAACGTTCATACGCATTCCTATCAGCTCCACGTTTCGCCACCAGTCTAGTATCGCAGCTCCTTTACCGCGTACAGCCGGAGCTGATCCCAATTCTTGAGATTCCCCGGGACCAGACGAGCCTGTCGGCGACGTTGGCGACGCTGGCGATTGTCGCTGCTGCTGCCATCTTCGTCGCCACAACAATGTAAACGGCACCTTAGACGAAAAACCCGATCTGTTACCCTGGCTATCTTGACTCTCGTTTTTGTCACCACTCAACGACTCGAAGTCCTCCGAACGATCGGAATCGGCAGAGAAACTCCAGGATGATCGAGGCGACGAGCAGCTTGACGCTTTAGGAGAGCTTGCTCCGGAGGAAAACCGGCTGAAGAAAGATGAGAAGGAGAGATTGGAATGTTCTGGAAGAACGGAGCATTCGGCGACGACGCAGGCTCGGTCAGGCTCCTCGAACGAATTAGCCTGATAGCAATCAGTAGGAGAAAGATCGTGTTTCTGACAGTTTTCATGGCCGTTTGTAGGCAAAGCAGCGTTTGAAGGAGCGCTAGAGCTGTCATTTGGAATAGTTATAGAAGCCCTGCAGCTATCTTGGGAAGTGGGGAATGACTCCTTGTGACCGTTGCACGGGTCGATATCTTTTTTAGCTTCGTCGGTGCGACCCGAGCATGGGGGAGTCGCAGCGGCGACGATGACATTGACTTCGCGAGTTTCGCCAACGTCGGCTGATTCAATCCATCCTAGTAATCGCTGACGCTCGCCTTCCAATGGCACCTGGACTGGCCACCAGACCGTAACCCTAACGCGCTCCGTGCTCTTTTTCTTATCACTCTTAAAATGATTATCGGTCTTAACCTGACCTGGCAGTACCTGCTCAGCCATTCCGAACGAACACGCCACGTCAGCAGCAGAGCCACGCGAAGAAAACACCACACTAATGAAAGAATAAGAGTTTAGGAAAAGGCAAAGAATTTAGGAATAAGAAGTCTCGGCCTAAGAGGGTGCTTTAGTTACAATCTGGTTCATAATGCCCAACATGTCCCTTCAGGGGTCTGCTGCATGTTGAAAAACATCCATCCCATTCCACTCCTCCCAAGCATACTGAAACGTCCCAGCAACCTGGAGAGGAACAGTGTACAAACAGAAGCAGGAGCATGTAGAAAGCTGACCAGAAACAGAACAGGAGCGCATGGTTGCTCACCAGGAGGGTGATGGAGAGAAGGGAGGGGCAGGCAGCCATTCCTGATAATACACGAGGGTATGGAGCGGTTATGAAGTTTTCTTGCGAGTTGCTAGAGGGTTTCGTCGTGAAAGGCCTGAAATCCCGAGAACACTGGCGCTATAACGAGACTCGATATAGGCACAATGATTCCCATTGTTTCGCGGCTGTCGTGGTTGGAGGGGTGATGTGCTGGTTTGGAGATGCTTTTGACGGAAGACGGATTCCGTCGCCGATGCCGTAAAAAAAATGTAACTCACTCGCAAGATGTCGCTGCCGCGAGATATTCTGTCGCTTTTGCAACTACGAGATCGTTACTCTGTGGGCTTTTGTCGCCAACGCGGGACAAGCCTGACAATCAGACTCTGGCTTGGCGGGATTCAACGTTGCCGCCAGGTTTCACGATTCTCGCACGTTCAGATGGCGGGGAGGCAGCAAAGCACACACGTCATCCTGGTGGATGACTCACTTCCTAGCAAGCTCGTCTCGTCACACACCCTTTTGACGGCCATCAAACTTGGGCCCAGTTCGGCAGGCATAAGGACGCGTGAAGTGCTCGATCGGGGGGAGATCGATCCTGTCACCGCAATAAAACCTTGCGTTTTGCATACGGAAAGTACACAACCGTTTACAACCGCGTCAAAGAATGATCCTGAGGCGATCGATTCTCTACTTTTACCGCGTCCTAAAGGCCCTGCTCTGTTGGCGCACAGGCCATTCGCAGCTGCTGCACAGGTAATGCGGACAGCGTTTTCCTCGAAAGGAAGAGAGGGCCTGCAGCCTCGTCGAAGGGTTTACTAATCTACAAAATTAAGAACTTTTTTCTCTCGTGTGCCCAAAAAAATGTTGTTACACACTGCCCTGGAACTCTTTCAAAGAAAAAAATTCTCGAACTGATGCACTAGATGTGGCAGTCTTACTGGTTAGCAGTTGGATTGTTTTTGGAGTGAGTATTCCACAAAAAAAAAACCCCAACACGGGCGTTTCAATTTGCCAGTTATTTGTTGTGCGCCTCTTCATTCCCCCCTCGACGAGCACATAAGGCTCGCACAGGCCATGCGGGAAAATTGCCTTTGAAACCAAGCTCGTGGAATTTTCTCAGCGCACAGAGAGTCATGCGTTCTTGCGCACACATGAATAATACGCGCACAACTCCCGCACTAGATGTTCGGGAGACAATAACGAATTGGGAGGCTCGACATGGGTTTTAAGCCTTATTATGCGCATTCCGAAAAAGTTCAAAGCCAGGGCTGAGCACCCCTTATGCGCCAACAGAACAGGGCTAAAAAATTCGGCCGCGGGGTGTCAGAATGTTATCTTATGCTCTAGCCTGTAGTGGGGTGCTCTATAGCGAGTACAACCCTTCTAGGGTTTCCTATTTGTATCCCCATTCTATCAGATTTATATGACATATCTACTGTAGGCTATAGTGGGGTAACACATATGGGGTACAACTTTCTAGGGTTTGTACTTGTACCCAACTTTCCCTTAGTCATTTCATTCTCGTTTCAAATTTCTCATGGAATCAGAGCAAGTTCCCTAGTGGGAACTGTACCTAGGACCCACCAAGTCGATATTTTTTTTCCTGCCCGGAGCGCACTCAGCCCGAGTCGCGCTCCTCTCTCTCACCTCGTCGAGCCGCCCTAGCGACTGCGTCGAGCCGCCCTAGCGGCCCTGTCGTCCTAGCGGCCCCATCGCCCTTCGCTGCGGCCCCGCCGCCCTTCCCTCCGGCCCCGCCGCCCTTCACTGCGGCCCCGCCGCCCTTCGCTGCGGCCCCGCCACCCTTCACTGCGGCTCCGCCGCCCTTCGCTGCGGCCCCGCCGCCCTTCGCTGCGACCCCGCCGCCCTACTCTGCGGCCCCGCCGCCCTTCACTGCGGCCCCGCCACCCTTCGCTGCGGCCCCGCCGCCCTTCACTGCGGCCCCGCCGCCCTTCGCTGCGGCCCCGCCGCCCTACTATGCGGCCCCGCCGCCCTTCTCTGCGGCCCCGCCGCCCTTCGCTGCGGCCCCGCCGCCTCTCTCGCTGCGGCCCCGCCGCCTACCTTGCGGCCCCGCCGCCCTTCGCTGCAGCCCCACCGCCCCTCTCACAGCGGCCCCGCCGCCCTTCGCTACGGCCCCGCCGCCCCTCTCGCTGCGGCCCCGCCGCCTACCTTGCGGCCCCGCCGCCCTTCACTGCGGCCCCACCGCCCCTCTCGCTGCGGCCCCGCCGCCTCTCACTGCGGCCCCGCCGCCCTACCAGCGGCCGTGCCGCCCTACCAGCGGCCCTGCCGCCCTACGCCACCGAGTCGCCCGCACCGCCAAGCAGCCCGAGCCGCCCGTTCTGCCCGAGCCGCCCGTTCCGCCCGAGCCGCCCGAGCCGCCCGAGCCGCCCGAGCCGCCTGAGCTGCTGAGGAGCCGAGCCGCTGGTGCCGCAGAGCCGCGGTTGCTACTGAGCCGTCCGAGTCGCCCGAGCCGCCGTGTTGCCGAGCTGCTGTGCTGCTGAGCTGCTAGAACCGCCCTGTCTGGTGAGAGCAGCGCTTCTGTCACTGCACTGCCCCTGTCCTACAGTTAGTGCTGCTAGTCTACTGCTGTAATGGCTACCCCCAGTGTTCTCGCTTTTGACGCTGAGGGTCGGGCCATTGACTTTGAGGTCTGGGTAGATGACCTGAAGTTTTTCCTTCAGTGCGATAGGGCAGACGGTCTCTCCCTCTTTGACCTCACCTCTGGCGCCTCCCCTGCCCCTGCTGCTGACGCTGACGCCACTGTTCGTTCCCAGTGGGCCACCCGCGACGCTGCTGCACGTCTTGCTGTGCGTCGCCACCTGCCTACCACTGAGCGTGCGCACTTTAGTCAGTACAAGAGTGCTCAGACCTTGTACGACGCTGTAGTTGCGCGCTACTCCTCCCCTGCCACGGCTGCACTGAGCCGTCCCTGGCACGCACAGGATGTCCCTGCGTCCGTCCACTGCTCCTTTGCGTGCCCCTTAACCTTGTCCTCCTGCGTCCTCTCTTCCTGCTTTTGCCGACCCGGAGTCGGACTCTCTTCGTGCTGCCAGTCCTACTGTCACGCGTCTCCTGGCTACTGTCGTCACTGACCCTTCCTTCGAGTCCACTACTGTGTCTGCCTTAGTTGTTGAGCTCGTCGACTTTGCTGCTCGCTGTCGCCTAGACTACGCTGCTAGTCTTGTAACTGAGTCTGAGTCTGTCTGTCCTCCGTCCGTCGGGGGTGAGTGTGCCCTTGGCACGGACGTCCTTGAGGACAGGCAGGAGGAGTTCCAGTGCTTGGCAGCTGCTTCACCTCATCTCGTGTCCGTACTGCTTACCCCTGAGGGAGACCCGGATGCACTTGACATCCCGACTCCGCGCTCTTACGCAGAGGCGATAGAGGGTCCCTACTCCTCTCAGTGGCAGGCAGCTATGGATGCAGAGATGGCTTCCTGGAAGTCCACAGGCACCTACGTTGACGCTGTCCCCCCTCCTGGGGCGAACATCGTCAGTGGCATGTGGATTTTCAGGGTGAAGCGGCCGCCGGGTTCTCCGCCTGTCTTCAA